GAGGAGGCCCAGGTTCGATAATATCATTCCACTCCCAGGAATGATAATAGGAGGACCATTTCTACTTTACCTACCTGATTTTTGACTCATACACTCTATCTGTTAGGAACACAACACAGGGTGCTGGTATAGAGCATATTCTGCACGCTGTAAGATGGCACTCTGTCCACCTTAAGTATCATTTCCATTTGTGCTTCAGCTTCACATTCATCAGCCCATTCCATCAGTGTATCAGGCTGGCAGTTTATGAGTGGTCCGATATGTAATGTGACCAGTGGCTCCCATAGTCACATGCCCATTTTGTACCTCCTTTGATGAAAAGTAGGTCTCTGGTTCAACATGATGGAATCCCACGCTAATTGTTCAATGAGCCCTTGGATGATGATGATGGTTGAGGCCTAGTGGGCAGAAAACACAAACCTATTTCTGAAATATGTCTTTATTTCTACCAGAAGAAATTGCTTCACCTTTTAGGGTAGAAGGAGCCCAATGTAGTCAACTCATCACACAGAGGCTTGTTGTTCTCGAGGTGTGGTGCCATACTGGAGATCTGGCTATTGCTTTTGCTGTTGTCCCATTGGACACTTGACAGAAGCAGAAGTTACATCAGCCTTGCAAAGTGTGAGTTCATGCTATTACGCTATTCTAGAGGGGCTTCTGATGGTTACAGGAGACTTAGCTTCTATATTGGCGGGACTGTCATCTCTTGCTATCATTGAGTCCTGCTCAGTAGTGGTACTTCTACCACTCAGTCTATAGAGGACAGCCATTATGAAAGTTCTTAGGGCTACTGGATCTCCTCTCACTACATATTTTGGTTCTGGGATTGAACCCAGGGGCACTTTACCACTGAGCTATAGTTCCAGTACTTCCTTTTAAATTTTGTTTTGAGACAGGGCCTCATTAAGTTGCTTGGGGCCTTGTTAAATTGATGAGACTGGCCTTGAACTCATTGTTCTCTTGCCTCAGCCTCCTGAGTCACTGGGATTACAAGTGTGTGCCACAGTACTTTATTGTTTGGTTGTAGGTGGACACACAATATCTCTATTTCATTTTTATGTGGTGCTGAGGATTGAACCCAGTGCCTTACCTATGCTAGGGGAGCGCTCTGCCACTGAGCCACAACCCCAGCCCTTCACAACACATTCTTTATTGCTAGTAAGTCACATATCCTGCAGCCATGGAACATAGTTACTTGGTAGGTTTTCTGGCCATTTATAGTATGTGTCTGTCTTTCTTTCTCCTCCCGTTCCTTTTTCTTTTTGTTACTGGAAATTAAACTGGAGGCACGTTAACACTTAGCCACATCCCTGATCCTTTCTTTTTAATTTTTACTTTGAGTCAGGGTCTTGCTATGCTGTTTAGAGCCTCAGTGAGTTGCTGAGTCTATCAATGAACTTTTGATCTTCCTGTCTCAGCCTCCTGAGTCGCTGGGATTATAGTGTGCACCACCAGCCCAGCTCAATGCCCACTTTTCTAAGACTTTAAATTCTTTAAATTCTTTCTGTCAATAATGGCCTTTCTTTCTTTCCTTCTTTTTTTTTTCTTTCTTTCTTTCGCGGGAGCAGGACTGTGGATTGAACCCAGCAGTGCTTTATCACTTAGCTACATTCCTATTCTTTTATTCTTTTTTGTTTTTTATTTTGTGGTAGAATCTCTCTCTCTCTCTCTCTCTCTCTCTCTCTCTCTCTCTCTCTCTCTCTCTCTCGGTACTGGGAATTGAACCCAGGGGTGCTAAACCTCTGAGATACATCCTCATACCTTTTAATATTTGATTTAGAGACTGGGTCTCTCTCTCTCTAAGTTGCTTAGGGCCTCACCAAGTTGCTAAGGCTAACTTTGAACTCATGATCTTCCTGATCCAGCCCTCCAGAGCCGCTAGTATTACAGACATACACCATAGCACCCAGCTGCATTTCTACATTATTTAGTGTGGACCATCACTTTTCCCAATGCTTTTGCCAGTTAATTACTTTCAACTTTCTGTTCTTTTCTCCCAAGTGCTGATGGAGCTCAGCAATAGCCTCTCATTTTTTCTATCCTTTCTATCCTTATATCCTTATATATCCTTTTTCTTTGAAGTCTGATTCATTAAACTAGCTAATGTATTCCTTTCCACCATTATAACACCCCAGTTTGCCAGTGACTATGCAAGCTCTACCTAACCAATAATGGTTAGCTGGGAGGTGAGTGATCTATCCCCCAAATTCTATCCCATCATCTACTTTCTCAGATCACTTCTGGCACTAACCATGACTGGTTACCCAGGATCATAAAATGGAGAGGAATTTACAGGTTTGTTAGGGAGTACTCTCAGAATTACCACAGGTGAAGGAAAAAAAGAAAGTAGGATTGGGCAGAGAGAGAGAAAGAGAGTATGAGTTTTGATATAGTCTCTACAGAGGCCTCAGCTGACCCTACAGAATACTCTGAAGTGGAGACAGCATTTCAAAATTGCTTCAAGTGGAGGCAAGGGAACTGGGCTTTTATTGCCCTCTAAACTGATCATTCAGAGTTATGAGATGCCCCAGAAAGCAGGTATGACTTTGGAGACATTGACAGTGGGCTAATTGTCAAGGTTCATATTTCAGGAGCACCCTCTTATGGTTTAGATATGAGATGCCCCCCAAAGCGCATGCACTAGACAATGTAAGACTTTTCAGAGGTGAAATGATTGGGTTATGAGAGCCTTCACCTGATCAGAACATTATTCCACTGATAGGAAGTAATTGGGTGGTAACTATAGGCAGTTAGGGTGTGGATGGAGGAGGAAGGTCACCAGGGGTGTGCCTTTGGGGTTTATATTTTGTCCCTGGTGAACAGAGCGCTCTTCTCTTCTCTTCTCTTCTCTTCTCTTCTCTTCTCTTCTTTCTCTTCTCTTCTCTTCTCTTCTCTTCTCTCTCTCTCTCTCTCTCTCTCTCTCTCTCTCTCTCCTTCCTGATTGCCTTGTCCTGAACTGCTTTCTTCTGCTACACTCTTCCACCATGATATTCTGCCTCACCTCAGGCCCAGAAATGTGGAGTTGACAGTCTGTGGACTGAGATCTCTGAGTATCCTTCCTCTTCTAATTGTTCTTGATAAACTTTTTGGTCACAGCAAGAAAAAAGCTGACTAAAGCACACGCTTCTATTCCTGAAGGCAAATTTGGACAACACACTGTGTCCACCACACTCTTATTCTCAATGTTCTTCTTGGGAAAGGACGTAGATATAACTTAGATATCCTGTGGTCAAGGAGTCATTATGAACAGCATTCTGGAGGTCTGGAAGTGCAAGTCATGAGAAATACCTTATTTTTAATTTTTTTCTGGGTTTTCAAACTTCTGAAACCTGTTGTGAAGTTTTCCAGGTTACTGAACATTATCTAGAACTTGGAGGATGGAAGGGAGGTTGTTGTTTAAAGATCTAAGGCTTAGACAGCCCCTGCCACCATGGCAAATTGGATGTCAGGCATGGTGAGTGGTTGGCAGAGGGACAATATGGGCTGCCTGGTTGGGCAGGTAACTTTCTAGTTAATTTAGGGTAACTTGATTGAGAATCAGCTTAGAATACCTACGTTCCTTGTGTCAGAAAATATACAAATTCTCTACAGGTGATCAGTCAACTCTTGAAGTGCTCACAAGCTAAATTAAAGCCATAATTCCAAATCCAGCAGCCTAGAACTGGTAGGGAAAGGTCACCCTCTTGTGGAATTTTTAGGGAATACTAGCAAACTAAGAATCTATCCATTGAAGCCCCAGATTCAAAAGATATCTCCTGATAGACAATTCCAATGCTTTGTATGTAGAATCTTCTGATAAAGGGAGCTTTAGGTTCAGAACTAGATGTGTGACCTGGACAAAGCATGTTATTTTTTGAGCTTCAGTTTTTTCCTTTGTAATGTGGAGATAATGCATACCCGTGAGGAGCCAATTAAAGAGGGATTGTTTAGAGTAATAAGTAGGATAGAGGAAGTCTTTTAGTATCCGATGTATAAGATATATATAATGAAGTATCTAGTATTCGGAATGCAACATAAAGAGTTACTATGTAAGTTTTATAGAAGTGTTTCCCCCTCAATGCTAGGGATTGAACTCCTGTCCTTCCACATACACTATTTTACCATTGAGTTACATCTCCAGTCCCACTATGTCTATATAAACTTTAGACCTTAGAATGGCAATGTTATTTCCTTACCAACCATAAACCATTGTCTTACACACAATAGGTGCTATATCTGAGGTGCTATTGACTGTTATTGAATTTTTTTCTTTATTTGGTACTGGGAATTGAGTCCAGAGATACTTTATCACTGAGCTACATCCCCAACCCTTCTTTATTTTTGAAGACAGGGTCTCACTAAATTGCCTAGGTTGCCAGGGATGGTGGTGCATGCCTGTAATCCCAGTGGCATGGAATGCTGAGGCCAGAGGATTTCGAGTTCAAAGCCAGCCTCAGCAATTTAGCAAGGTCCTAAGCAATTCAGAGACCCTGATCTAAATAAAATATAATAAAGGGCTGGTGATGTGGCTCAGTGATTAACTGTCCCTGGCTTTAATCCCCAGTATAAAAGAAAAAAAAAAGAAAGAAAAGAAAAACTGCCCAGGTTGACATGGAACTTGTGATCCTCCTGCCTCAGCCTTCTGAGTAGCTGGGATTACAGGTGTATGCTGCCATGTCCAGCTGTCATTGACTCCATGAGGCTCAGTTCCCAGCTTTCCCCAGTGTTCTATGCAGCAACTCATATGTCCGTTGTCAGAAGAGAGGAAGCTGTGGCTGCAAGGAGGTAGAGGCCAGAGGAAAGAATATGAGGAACTTTGAAAAATCATTTATTTTACCCTCTGTGGAAGATGTGGGGAGTAGTTATCTAACAGACTATAACAGCTCCTTCTATTGGCAGACAATCACACACACACACACACACACACACACACAGGATATGTTTTGTGCCACTGTGTCAAGCTCTGATCAAGCAGGTGGAGATAAACCTGTTAGCAAAAAATAAATATCTCTGCTCTACAGGAGATCCCAATTTAGGAGAGGAGAGGAGCAGGAATAACCCATATGTGACAGGCTGCTTTATGGCAACCTCTACTTTTGTTCTGTATTTCAAGGACGGATTCAGTTTTTCCAAACATGTTCAATTCCAAAATCCTTGGTGAGTAGTGTAACTTTTATTAACATTTTCACGGTGCTATGGTTTGGGTATAGTTTTATCACAGCCCTCCCACCACCACCACCCCTGCAAGGTTCAGATGATGGAAGTTTGGATGCTAGTGTAACAGTATTGAATGGTGGAAGGCTTTGGGAGGTTATTGGGTCATGACTGTTCTCATAAAGGGATTAATGTTGGTCTTGTGGAGTGGATTAGGCCTGGTAAGAATGGATTAGTTCCCAGGAGAGGTAGTTGTTATAAAAGAGTAAGTCTGGCCCTCCCTGGTCTCTTGTTTCCTCTCTCAACAAATGACCTCTCATTCATTGGCATATGTCACTTGTCACTCTGAAGCCAGCATTAAAGACAGGCAGTCAGTCTAGATATGTAAATCAAGTTGGATCAAAAAAACTGGAGGTGGATGAAGACTGCCCCTGAAGGATTGAAATGCTAATGCCTTCAGAGCCCTTCCTCCAATCTTATCAAGATAACCTACTCCTTCTCTAATGGGTTGTTAAAGTCACCAGTCCCAGGGATTGTCCCTCCCTACAGGGAGTTAATGCACCTTGGACCCCACTTCCTGCCCTGCATCATTGCACCTTAGCTCCTCCAGCCCATTTGCTTCTCATATTTTGGTCATCCCATCAGAGCATTTCGTGGGCCTAATCACCTACACAGGAAGGAGAGAGATAAGGAGTAGAGAGCAAAAGAACAAAGGAAGCCTAGGACGTATAAAAAAGGCAGAACGCTTTTACTTCCTGGGATACCAGGATACCATCTATGGCTGCCTTCTCTCTCCCGGGAGAAGTCTATGATACCCCTTTTTAAATAAACCCTGCTGTATATGCTTGCTTTGGCGTGCTTCTCTAATGTTATACTTCAACATATGAGGAAGCAGAACTCGTCACTGGTAACCCGTGGTATCAACTCTCTCACACTCTTCTGTTATATGATGCCATCACCATATTATGATATACCCAGAAGGTCCTCACCACAGACCAGACAGAAGGAACTGTCTGATTTTAGACTTTCAGTCTCTAACATGGTGAGCTACACACATCTCTATGCTTTATAAGGGAACATTCTCAGGTATTCTGTTATAGCCACGCAAAGCACCCAGGAAACTTCTCCTTTAAATACTGTTTCCCTTTCCAAAGCCTCCCTTTATTTATTTTCTCCACTTCCTCTATTTTTCTTCTTTTTAAAAAATTTATTTATTTTAATTAGGTATATATGATAGCAGAATGCAGTTTCATTCACTGTAAACAATTGCAGCACAACTTTTCATTTCTCTGGTTGTACATGATGTAGCGTCGCACCATATGTGCAGTCATACGTGTACTAGGGTAATGATGTCCATCTCATTCCACCATCTTTCCTGCTCCCAAGTCCCCTCCCCTCCTCTCCCTCTCCTTTGCCCAATCAAAGTTCCTCCATTTTCCCATGCCCCCCCCCCATTATGGATCAGCATTGGGTACTTTATCATTGAACTGCATCCCCATTTTTAATTTTATCTTGAGATAAGTTATGGCTAATTTTCTGAGGTTGACCTTGAACTTACCATCCTCCTGCCTCAGTCTCCTGAGTTGCTAGGATTACAGGCATGTATCACATCACCTGGCACATTTTAGTAGTTTTAAAGGTATTCTTTTTTTTAATTATTTTTTATTTTTTTAATTTTTTATTGTTGGTAAAGGTATTCTTTAAATAAAAAGATGTTACCTTTCTATCTCTAACTCCTATCTTTCCCTGGTGAGGACCAGGACTTCTTTTTTGTGTGTTCTTCTAGAATGTTTTTACAATGTATTGATAGTTATATGTAACAGAATGTTGAATGGGACTTCTCATGTTTTGACATTTTGATAAAAGTACTAAGTTTAGATAGTGAGTGTAACCAAAGGATTAAGTAAAAGTCTAGTGAACATGGCCTTTGACCGTCACCCTAACACCCACCTTCAGCCTATATAAAAGTCTAAAAATTCCATGATTGTCATGAAAGCAAGGGAGCAAGTGCTATGATTTTCTAAGTGTGTGCATGGTGTGTATATGCATATGTCAGAAGTTGGGAAGGAGTGTCAAGAAAACCACTCATTGATATCTGTCTTCTCTGCAGGAGGCCTAGGACCTTGCAGAAACTCATTTCCCAATGCAACCTCTTTACAGCATTGGCAACTGCTGTGCACTAGCTCATCAATTGAATCATACGCTGAGTAAAAGGACAAAGAGCCAGAAATGCTCTCTAATAGATTTTCTCTTGGAGAATAGAGTTGAAGTCCTTCCCTTCCATGAAAACTTGAAGAATGAAGTACTAAGCAACTTCTAATATATTTAAACATTTGAAAGCAAGAGTTGTAAATGTAGCTTAGTGACACAGTGTTTGTCTAGAAAGCATGAGGCCCTGGGTTCAGTCTTCAGCACTGTCAAAATAAAATAAAATAAAGTGATTTATCTTAGAACACTTTTCTTTGTGTGTGTATTTTTCTTTTTGCCTGTTCTTCTTCTAGACTGGAGTGGGCAAACAATTGTACTTAGGCCAAATCAGGTCCACCACCATGTTTTGAGTACAGTTTGTAAGCTAATAATTTTTTAATATTTATTTTTTAATTATAGGTGGACACAATGTCTTTATTTTACTTTATGTGGTGCTGAAGATCGAACCTAGTGCCTCACGCATGCTAGGTGAATGCTCTACCTCTGAGCCACAATCCCAGCCCTAATAATTTTTTTTAAGTATAAATAGTTTAAAATAATTAAAAGAAGAGTAATACATTGTGATACATGAAAATTATATGAAATTCAGAATAGACCTGCACCCACAGGGATAGGAAGCTAGCTTTGAGCTGGGCACGTTGGCACATGCCTGTAATCCTAATGGCTTTGGAGGCTGAGGGAGGATCGTGAGTTCATAGCCAGCCTCAGCAACTTAGTGAGACCCTATGCAATTCTGTGAGACTCTGTCTCAAAATAAAATATAAAAAGGTCTGGGGATGTGGTCAGTGGTTAAGTGTCCCTTGGTTCAATCCCTGGTACAAAAAAAAAAAAAAATGGAAAACTAGCTTTGAATTATCTGAATATTTGTATAGTAGTTGGGTGTGGTGGCTCAGTAGTTAAGTACCCCTGGTTCAATCTCTAGTATAAACAAATAAATACATAAGCAGAGTCATTATTTTATATCAACAGTAAATAAGATCAATATATCAATACCCAACTTGGGCTGTTTATGATGTATTTCCTAAATTTCAAGACATTCTTGTATTTCTAAACCAGAATCATGCTACAGTTGGCATTAAATGAGACTTACAGTTGTCTGATAGGATAGTTAAAAAAAAGAAAGAAAGCTATATGAAACTTAAATTTTGGTTTCTGTTAATAAAGTTAATAAAGTTTTCGGTTTCTGTTAATAAAGTTTTATTGGAACATAGCCATCTCATTTGTTAGCTGCTTTTACATTAGAATGACAGAGTTGAGCAGTTTTAGCAGTGATAGCATGACCGTCTAAACCTAAAGTGTTTGTGATTTGGCCGTTTACAGAAAAATGTTTGCGGAGCCCTGCTCTAGATGGGGAAATAGTCATAGTAAGAATAACTTAAGAGTTGTTGTAGAGATAGGAATGTAGCTAATACTGAGTGGTGCTCATGTGTATCTGAGTGTATGTTCATGTCCAAACAAGTTTTGGGGAATAATAAAAAAAGGTGGTGGGGGGGGGATCAAAGCATAGAATTTATATCCTTATAATAGCTGTCAACAGAACCGGGCTAGGCAGGTAATTCAAATCTCTACCCATGTTCTGAGAAACCAGAAGCCAGGAACCTCTGAGAGTGAGGAGGTGGTAGTGATAAGGTGGCTGGAATGTCCGGAGTGAGCCTGTCAGACCAGGAGTGACTGTTCCATTGGGGTTGTCAGCAAGATAAGTGAGCAGTCCATCCTACCCACATCAGCCATCAGGAGGAAGAGGCAAGCAGCTGACCCCCCGCAGGCCTTCTATCAACAGTCCATGGATTCCCCACGCCTCCAGCAGCGTTGGCAGATGATCTTCTAGTGATTCCTGGAAGGAGGTTTTCCATGCACAGCTGTCTGTGTCTTATCTAGACTAAAAGGCACCTCTCTGTGTCCTGAAACACTGCTTTCCCAACCACCTTGTCCTATGTGGACACCTGGTTTTCAATGACTCAGAGACTCATAATCCCCACTCAACCAGATGGGGAGATCTTTGACATACAGAATGGGGAACCTATGTGGAAGGGAATGCTGGGGCCCATAGTTAGGTGGGCTGAATAAGGGTGCAATCCAGACCCTAGAATAGAGGTTTACATTTCTTACTATCTCTAGTCTCTGAAGAAGTTAAGCATTGGAGTTCTTTTCAGCCCAAACTCAAGAATTTATCTAGAAAGCAAATGGGTGTGGCTGTGAAAGTATGTTTGTGTGCATGGGTGGTATGCGTGGATGGGTGCCCACCCCTTCTGCAATAGCAATCTGTTGTCATCATACATCCAGTATTTTCTTTTCTTTCTGTTCATTCCCCCATCTCCTGGCTTTGTGTCCATGTAAAGATACGTTCAATAATCTAACACTGTAATGATTCTCTTGTAGAAACCCTCAGCTCCCAGGCTCCTCTTGCCTCTGTTGGTTTCATCGGGCAGAACTCTTGTCTCAAAAGATCCCAGGCACATGCCTTTTTTACTCTTGAACCCAAGTAGGAGAAAAAAAAAATGTGTGGAAAGGGATAATGTGAGTCATGGTCCCCTGCCTCATGTGGGCACATAGTGCAAGCCTGGCGATGTTTCTGTTCTTCTTTCTCTTTTTCTATAATAATTGTTTCATAACTTTGCAGATGTTTTGGTAACTCTGATTCCTCTGCCCACATACCACCTCCTCTCATCTAATGATTTAGGCTTCTATTTTAGAGATAATTTAGGAACTATCCAGACAGAAATTGCCTTGTTTTGTTATAATGAATTAAAAGCCTACTTGATTTGTAGCCACCCTCTTTCCCCTTTCTATGTCCCAGAAGACATAAAAAAAAAAAAAACATTAAAAACATTAAAAAAATGATTCTCTTGCAGAAACCCTCAGCTCTTAGGCTCCTCTTGCCTCTGTTGTTTTCAATCTGGCAATACTTTGGTTTCAAAAGATCCCAGGCACATGCCTTTTCTACTATTGTATGTATCTTCCCTTACCCTATTTTACAAATGATGAAACATACAGAGATTTAAGTAACTTGCTTAAGATCACACAGCCAGCAAGTGGTGGAGTCCTTTCCAGCAGAGTAATGTTCCTCCTTCTGCAAAGGGCTAGTATTTTTATATTCCTCCTCATTTATTCTATTCAGGAATTTGACTATATTAGTTATGCCCCCTTTCTTAGTTAATATTAAGTTCCATGATGAGTTTCCAGGATTTTTTTTTTTTTTTTGGTCAATACTGGAGGTCGAACCCAGGAGCACTCTGCCACTAACCTATATCCCTAGCCCTTTTAAATTTTCTATTTAGAGACAGGGTCTTGCTGAGTTGCCCAGCTTGGCCTTGAACTTGTAATCCCCCTGCTTCAGCCTCCCAAGTGGCTGGGATTACAGATGTGTCCCTCACCCCCACATCCCATAGAGATCTTGTGGTGAAAAACCAGCCTCTATCTCAGAGCAAAACCTGTCCAAGGAAGGGACATGGCCTTTGTCCTTGGAAAGACCCACAGAGCACTCCTAGGCACATTCCCACCCTGCTAAGTTGTTTATCTACAAATAACAGGAGAGATCTGCTGCGCCAGGTGTCCCTGACTCAGTCAGGCTAGGTGGGGATCCATAGCAGTCCCCTAGCAGCCACCAATCAGCATGAGACAGGGAAATACCTGGGATGCCAGATGACCCTCCCAGTAGTTTATGGTGTTGGGAAACCATGTAGTTCAGCACGTACACCCCTCTTGGCTTAAACCAATCAGTTCAAATAAATACCCCTTTTGTACTGACCAATCACCCCTACCCAACTTGTTCCCGCCAGTGAATGTGCTAATCATGTTTTAGAGTTGTTATTTGATTTTCCCGCGGTGTGTGATGATTTGCTAAAAGAGGCTATGATGTATGTGAACTCCCTGCCCTCTCCAAAGAGTGTATAAAACTGCTGCAAACCCTGGGCTCGGGGCCTCTCAGCGTCACCAGTTGCTGTGTGTGTGTGCGGAGGACCGAGCTAGCTCGCAATAAACACCTCTTTGCTGCTTACATCGATCTTGGGTCTCTGGTGGTCTTTGGGGGTCCTGAATTGGAATTCGAGCATAACAATGGAAGTCCTGAATGAGCTGGGCATGGTGGCACAAACCTGTAATCCTAGCTACTTAGTATACGGAGGCAGGAGGCTTGCAAATTCCAGGCCAGCTCAGTAATTTAGTGAGATCCCCATCTTAAAAAAAAAAAAAAAAAAAAAAAGTCAGGTGCCCTGGCCATATGCTGGTAATCCTAGTGACTCAAGATATAAGATGTCTAAGGCTGGAGGATTGCAAGTTCAAGGCCAGTGTCAGCAATTTAATGAAGCCCTAAGGAACTCAGCAAGACTATCTCAAAAATTTAAAATAAATAAATAAATAAATAAATAGGACTGGGGATATAGCTCAGTGGTAAAGTACTCCTTTGCCACTTTGGTACTGGGTTCAATTCCCAGTACCAAAAAAAAAAAAAAATCAGATTAACACTAAACAAATGCAGGCCAATCTTTATTGGGAAGTGTCTGAAAAGAGCTCCCCCCGATAATGAACTATAGAAATGATCCCTGAAACTGGGAATGGAACCACCATTTGACCCAGCTATCCCACTCCTTGGTCTGTACCCAAAGGACTTAAAAACAGCCTACTAACACAAGTGGAGGGAAGATGGCGGCGAGGGGAGTGCATTACCCCCGTGTGCTGCTTCACTGTGTGGGAGTATGACAAGTCAGGACGGCTAAAGGATATCTTGTTAGGAATTTCCAGCAATAGTGGGGTGCGCCGGAACCTGGAGGAAGGATTTCCATCGCATGAGGATCGGCTACGGGGACTCAAACGCGAGAGGTTTGTCACACGGAGGGTAATACTGCTTATTCAGCAAATCGCCCCGCGGCTAGAGTCTGCAAGGCGCGCTGGGATAGAGACGCAGGGTTACAGCGCTGCAGTTTCTGCCAGACGCGCAAGCACCGCACTCAGGGCTGAATTCTGGGTTCGAGACGGGGAAGGAAGCGGTCCATCTCGGTTCTCCACACCGGTCAGACCACAGAGGAGGCCAGCAGCCACCATGTTGGTAAACTGACGTCACCACACCTGTTTTTGACTGACCGCAGCTCATTCAGCCATAGAACAGGTAATTTCAGGCTGCAATTCGCCTGCGGCTTGCAGACAGATTGCTAGGGTTCAGCGCCTGGGGGCTTCTTAAAATCTGATCTTATCGGAGTGAACACGGAGCGCGGGGCGGCCAAGTCCC